CGTGTCCGCTAGACACTGCAATTTGGTTCGTTGGAACAAAACGACTTCCGTGCTCAATAAGCCCTGTGTCAACGACACTGAAGTCACCAAGCCTCGCTGGTTCTGACAGCGAACACGGGCAGAGCCCAACTTCGTCTCTCGCACGCGGTACAATGTCGGACAGTGCGTCCGCGGCACCGAGGGTTGTACATCCTAGGCTCGATGAGCACGAACGTCGCGCTCCGCACACGCTTTCAGTGCCGAGTGGCCTCGTTGAGGATGTGGAGGTATTCGACTAAGAGTCTGACAGTCTGACACTCCTTGTCCCGCATGGGATGACGGGGAAGGCGAGCTGCACCAGCGGTGTGAGACGAGCCCTGCTTGCGCCTTGCGGACCCCATGTCGGTTTACTGACTTATCGTCAACTGAGGGACGTGGTGTAATCACCAATGACCTCGACGGGACACAGAGGCGGCAGCTCTGATGCGCACCCATCCACGGCCGTCCATTGGCCCTCGTGTGGAATATGGCTTTTGCCCAGCGGATCCCGCTGTGGAAGTGAAGGACGCGGTAACTCGATCGTTACGCCTCCACATCATCGGGGCCCCGGCCAGAACGGAAGATGAGCTTGCCAAACGGAAAGCTCTTCGAGCTTGCTTCTTGATTCCACAAAAATTCCGGTAGAAGCTTATCGCACTAATCTGAGTGCTCAATGAGGTGGCTCTCGTGTACCCGCAATGCGGACAATACCTGTAGTGCTCGCCCCTGGCGAAAGCACTACAGATGACGAAGTGCTCTTTGAGCGATGGGTGCAACGGCACCGAGACTTTCCTCACTGTATAACTTACAGTTGAGATATAAGGTAGTGGACGTGCGTGTGAAGCGACACCTCCGATTTGGGTTTGCCAAACTCAAGGCACGCCGTCGAATTCCTTTTGATTGTCGCCCTTCGACGTATGGGATAACCCCTAACGCTTCCGCGAGCTCTGTGTCAGCGACCACAAGAGCTCAGGGCCACTGCTTGAGCTCAGCTCATGGCCCTGCTACTTCCCGGGCTATTGCCGGAAAGCGCGGGGCGTCCTGATCTCTCTGTAAAAAGCGTCCACTGCGTCTGGGCAATCTAGTCGAAGTGGCGCCTCAAACTCCCACGAGTTTTCGGAGTCGGGATATCCATGCCACTTCACCAGATATCGGGTTTGACCTTGGTGACGACGTCGTCTCACTAGACGTTCCACGTGATAGTGGACGCCACCGTTCTCATCGAGCC